CCTCCTCTTTCTGGGGCTGCCAGTCCAAGCCCAAGCCTGACAGTGCTGTAGGGCTCATGACAAGTAAACCCAGTGAGAATTGGGCTGTAAGTCTAAAGTTTCTTCGGGAGTAAAAATCGGAGGGAGTAACTGGTGTGACATGGCACTTACACAGGTCACAAATGGTATGTTTTCACCCCACCGTCTTCACCCCACCGCCCTGCGGAGGCTTTGTGCAGCCATCCCGAAGCTAGAACAGCGAGATGGAGGGCTGCGCAGTGCCCCGCCTCGCTGTTTTGGCTTCGGGGACAGCCTTTCAAGCCTCTGCAGGGCAGCGGGGTGCCTTCACCCCGCCGCCCTGCGGAGACTTTGTGCAGACATCCCAAAGCTAGAACAGCTTCGGGCTGCAGGCAGCTATCCGCAAGCCTGCGGAGCCCGGTAGGAGTTCCCTCCGGGCTCCCAAGGCTTGCGGATAGCTTCCTGAAGCCTGGAGATCGAGAGGGGTCGCTGCGCACCGACACCTCTCGCTCTCCAGGCTTCAGCGAAAGCCTGCATTCGCTCCATAGGACGCACACAAACTTCCCCTTCATTTTGGGGGGGGGAGTACATCCTATAGAGCGAAAAATACGGTAGATTTTGCAAAAGGATCTTGGAACATACTGGGGAGTATCCAGTGGTGTGGAATCTGCTTCCATTTATGTCGTGAGACTTTCCCTTCTCTCTACTACAGCCTCCCACATGCCCCCCAGGCCTGCTCTGGAGTGTTGGGGAAACGTCAGGGCAGATTTGGGAGTGCATGAAGGCTGCAGATGAAGGAGAAATCTGTAACTCCAATGCTGGATAATAATACCCACTGTATTATGATGTATGTTTACTCTGGAAGCATATATATTCTTTTAATTTCTCAAGAACATTGGCCTTTTACATAGAAGAGGATTCTGAAATATGTGGCACAGGCCGCTGCATTTCAAAACAGTGCAGCCATTGCTTTGCTTTGGTCTGAATGGAACAAATGTTGTCATTTTCATGGTAAAAAAAAGAGTATGTGACTTTGCATTAGCAGTTGGAACACTTTGATGTTTTAAGCCTTGAAGTCTGAGTAAAGCTAACAGTAATAGATACTCTACTGTTTGGCTGCTCTGGGCTGCCGGGGATGATGATTTGCTTTTACCCATTTGTCTGGGAAGCACAAGTGGACATCATTTCCTAAGGTTAATTACAAGGTTTTTATATAAAAAAAAGTTGACTAGAAACCAGCTGCCCAGATAGTAAATTTTTTTTTAGTCAAATACCAATATTGGAACATTTGTTTGCCTTGCAACTGATGAACAGGAAGGACTCTACAACGTATCCTCCTATAACATTTCACAGATGAAAATACAGTCATACCTTGGAAGTCGAATGGAACCCATTCCGGAAGTCTGTTCAACTTCCAAAACATTCAAAAACCAAAGCGCGGCTTCTGATCGGAAGCCCCGTCAGACGTTCGGCTTCCAAAATAACATTTGAAAACCAGAACACTCACATCCAGGTTTCGATCGTTCAGGAGCCGATTTGTTCTGGAGCCAAGGCGTTCAAGATCCAAGGTACGACTGTACTTGTCATGGCTCAATTTCCAAGCCAAGCTTGAACTGCCCCACCCCAGCAATTTGGCACATTGCAGAAGGCTCTGCCCTGCTTTCTGTATGCTTTAGTCATTCATTTCTGCATTAGACCTGTCTTCAATGGGTTTAATAGTTGATAGGATGTTCTGAGGAAGCTAAATTCTGATGAATGTACTCAAGCAACTTGCATCCTCCACAGATAAAAATAGAGATAGTGATTTATTAGGCAGAGAGAGTAGGGAATAAGGAAGCATGGAAGCATATGATACAGTCTAGCTACCACTAGTTATCTGAAAGCCTTGCCCACTAGGGTTTCTCCTGAACTGGAAGGTATCACTGGTAACTCTGACTAAAGATGACAGGAGTTAGTAGCCAATATTTTAATTTCCTGTGGAGCCATTTGAAATGATTTTTATGTTCTATGGAGAATCAATCTATGTACCTTCAGTGGCTAAGCACAAAAAAAAGAGTCTTGTGTTTTTACAGCTGAACTTAATAAACCTTAGTGTTATGAATCTGGGCTGCTACTGTTGGGAGTGCCCCACCTATTGCAGTAAGTATGTGATTATTTTAGTGCCATTCCATGCACTTTGCATAAACATCTCTTTAAAAAACAAACCATATTTGTTGGCAGTTAAATATTAAACCCAGCCTTTGGAAGTTAATATTAAACCTAGCAAGAACTGCTTAAACTCAGAACTAAATTTATATTTTAGGAAGAGGTCAGTTGGCCAGGGAGAGTGTGTTAGATCTCTCTACTTGTACTTACAAGGTGTGAATGGAAAAATAAGAAGAAAATGACATGTATGTGTCCTAGTAAGAATGTAAGATGCATTTCTATCATGTGCAGTTCACATAAAGGAAAGTAGATAACATTTTTATTACATTTAGATTCTATATGGTGCTTTTTCTGAGCGTTTGAGTAATTCTTACAAAATTCCTACCAGGTAGTCCAGTATTATTATCCTCATGTGTGAGAGATCTGTGGTGGAGTATAATTGTGATGGGATGATGAGCTGCTTGTGCGTAAAATGCGAGTCCCTCAGAGTTTGATCAGGTTTTCAAACCTCTGCCTGTGACGGAGCCCCTCCGGCATGGCTGCGTCAGTCGCTAGCAGAATCCGAAAGTGGTTGCTTTCGGAATCGTTTCCAACATAAAAGCTCCTTAACGGAAACACGTCTTCTGGACTCTCTGCGTGACAGTTTCCGGCGAGGAGTGGGTGTCCCTATAGGAGGTCCTGAGACCTCCCCACTGTTTTCGCTGGAAGCGTCTCTGAGCCATCCCTCCGACTCACTTTCCCTTGGAGTTCCTCCTCTCCCCCTACTGGTTCCCTCTTCAGCTGCTACGTCTCTCTCAACCTCAGTGAGCCTTTGCACCTCCTGTCCTTCCGATGGCAGTTCCCTGACAATAATGGTACCTGCCAATAGAATCTTAATAGTCTGTCACAGCAGACTTATCAACACACTTGGTCAGTCTTCCCCATCTTGGTGCCCTCCAGATGTTTTAGGCTATAGTTCTCACCATTCCCTGCCTGTCCACCTTCGTTTGATCCAAACAACAATACTTTGAAGTTGGTTAGGAAGAGAGTTGGGGAGTAAGCTTCATGGCTAAGGCTGTTATCCTAACCTCAGGTTCCCAGGAGTAAGCCCCATTTATGTACATAACTAGAGGTACCACTGTATATCAGTAGGCTTTACTTCTGACCGGACATAGTTAAGATTGCCCTGCAAGTGGGGATTTGTAGCTGGTTCTTCCCAATTATAGTCTGAGCACTCTTAAGTGCTCTGTTAAACTGATTTTCAGTGTACTATCCTGACTCTACTTTTACTCTGATTGGATGGTGACTTTGGACAGAATTATCTGGGGGCCTCTTACTAAAGGACTGAACCTAGAGCACAGCTGGAAAATTACTTACTGCAGTTTTATTTCAGGATTACTTAGATGAAGTAAATTGCATGCTTTGAACGCTCATAAGGACTGTTATTATTTATTATTTTGAGTTTCAGCATTGGAGATTGGAGCATGAGTATCCTTCGAGGAACAGAGACCACATAACATGGGAGATTTTAATTGGGCTTCGTTTTGACCTGGACTGTGTTCCTCTCTATCCATGCTAGCCGTGTGCTTCTTTGCCTCTATTCAACACAGGGAGGAAAGGGCCACTGCAGGATGAGAAGTATCCTGTGTATTGTATGGGTTGGAAGGTCTCCCCAAAAGGGCTCATGGAGTTTTGGTGCTGGAGCTTGAAGACCTAGTGTACAAAATAGTATAAAGTCATCACTTTTTCAGATGCATTTTGTTGCAGAAATGTCTGTCTATCTATCTATTTGAAGCCAAGCAGAACTAGGGTAGACCAGTAGCTGGATGAGCAACCACCTAAGAAGCCAGCTCATACTAGCTCAGGCAGAAAACAAGCAAATTGGGTTATTTTAATTCTTTGCGGTCTGTGACTGTTCCCCACCCCCACAACTTTTAGGATGGCTAGATGCACTTTTTATCTAGAATTGAGGGAACTTTTGCAGGTGCAACTTGTGCATGCGTGAAAATGCCACACCTATCAAAATATCCTCTTCTACACAACCATTGAAGGCGAGAATCCATCTTCCTTTGCATTTGGTTGGTAGCACGAAGTAGGGAGGTGGTTTGCTGGGTGTAACCAAGAGCAACCATGGTGATACAGTGAGGAGATGCCTTCCCACCTGTACCATTCAGCACTGGGTAAGCAGGCAGTTGCTAAGAGCAGGTTCCAGACATCTGTGCTTGCATAGTGCTGGCTGTGGCTCCATCACTGCCTGCTGGCTCTGAAAGATAAACGGAGGAAAATCTTGCTGTACTTTGGCCACTTGTAGTTTTGCCTAATTTACCTCCCTCACCTGCTGATGCTGTTGGTTACCTTTCTCTGCCTCTGTCCTTTTCTCTTGATCTCTCCCTTTCATTTTAAAAAGAAACTCAAGCAAAGAAAATTGTGATGACCTTAGGCTCAATATTCCACACACACACACAAGGTCAAATTACTGAGGCAGTACCATTGTGTGAATGCTGCCATATGTCTATAAGTTACAATAATTTGCTGTAAATGTTAGCAACTCTGCTCCACCATTGTTTGCTTGGTATCCACTTATTTAGATTGAATAACAGATATATGGTGAATGCTTATAATCCTCTGAAGAACATTGAGATGTTCTAAATAATAATGGTGATTTACTGGAACAATGTAAGGTTGCTTGTTAGTTATATTAAAATAGATAGCATAGCCTGCCATGATACTTTTGGTAGGACACACACATCCTCCCTCTGCACTTCAAGATGCAGATTGATCAGTTAGCAAATGCTGGAACATTTAAATTTTATTTAAACAAGCTTTCTCATTTAATTTTGTGGATATACTAAATGCTTCATGCTTTTCTTTTTCTGCAGGCAGCTATAAATGGTGTTATACCACAGGAAAATGGGATTTTACAAAGGTAGGTGGCAAACTTTCTCACTATTAGTCCTTCTAAGCATATGGAACAAATCATTTCTATTGTTAGTGAGCTGCTATTGGCACCAGTCGTTCCTGTATCTTGCTGTAGCTTTCAAATGTTAAAATTTCTAGGTTGGAAGAGCTTAATAAACAGTGGACCAATTTTTCTTTTTTCCTCCTGCTTACCAATACCTTTTATTTTTGTGTCCTGTCTTTTTATGTTGTAAGCCTGTGAGCAGAGACTATCTCACTGCTAAAACTTTAAAATCTGCAACTTTTTATTGCTCAGCTTATGAAATTTTTTTGCTCTGATCCAGCAGGGGCAATCTGTAAACCAGGGGGAAAGCTGAATTTGAATAATCTTTTAGGTACTGTGTGTGTAAAAAGGTGCTGTACGGAGGGAAACCAATCCCCTTCTTCCAGACATGGGGCTACTTGCATTGTGCTTCTATATCGGCACCCCGCCAAACAGATAGGTCAGTATGGTTTGGGGAGGATAGTGGGGCTAATCCCTTCTCCTTTCCTACTTAGCTCTGAAACCTCACAGCCCTGGCCATCTGTTTAGCAGAGAAGATCTTCGCATGTAGTAATGCTCCTGCAGCCCACTTCAGCACACACAAAATCTCTGAATTGGGGCCAATACAGTTTTGCATGGAAATGTATACACCTAAACACAGCACATCCATTGTTCATCTTAGCTTTGAAACGGCCCATGGCTTCAGAGTTGAGAATTGCTCTTTGTTCTCCCTGATGAGGGAGAAGGAAAAGAGGCCTCTGTATAAGAGAGAATCATAGTGCTCTATTTGTTTGTTGACCCACCCACCCTGCACGACACACATACAATTTGGGATGCAGAACGATAGGAATTACCCTACCGGACCGTTGAGATGATAAATGTTCTAAGGCTGAAGCAGTGCAGATGTGTAAGCAACCACTCACAGCACAGTTCAAGCTGGCAACATCTGAGTTTGTTAACGTTTTATGCTTTTATTTTGCACTGAAGCCTTGGGACATTTGAAACCGTATACAAAAGGTCAGCATGAACTTCCCTTCTTTTTTTAAAAAAAGGAAGAGACATGAGAAGGGACAAATTTTCAGCTGCCGGCTTATAAATATAAAGCTTCTTAATTTAGACATCATGGCTTGATCATAACTAACTACTTAGAATTTCCACTGAAATGTTGCCTACTTAAAACACTCTCCCACTTCTGTGGCAATGCTCACAGTATTTTTTATAACTAAGAATAGAAGGAAAGGGTAACAGAACACTGTATTTTGGCAGAGCTACTAATATAACTCCCTGCCTATCCCTGATTAGATGCTTGTCTAAATAAAAACACTTTATATCGATCTGTTCAGTAGTTGTTTTTATATATTTATACGTGCTTTCAAGGGAAGGGGGTTCCAAAGCTGGGGAGAAATGTATATGCCCATACTATTGTCTTCTTTTCAGCAAGAGTTGAATCAAAGACTGCTTTCAAACACATAGGGATCATAATAGGACATAGCAAATATATGGCAGGCCTAAGTCATCTAGGGCTTTCCAGAACTGATTTGTGCTTTGGGGGGGGGGGGACAGGAAGCCAATGCAGTCCCCAGAGCACTGGTCTAATATGCTTCTGGTGACCCTTGCAAAATGGGTTGTGTTCCATATTGGCTGCAGTCTCCTGATATTCTTTAGCATAAGATACTGTGAGTGATTATACAGAGTTCACTCTAGATGTTAAACCTGCTAAAAGAGACCTATGCATTTTTATTAATGCACAGTACCTAGTATCCTTCAACTGCATTTGTAATTAATCTATGAGGAGATGCAGAATATTGTAAATGTGTAGTAGTAAAACCCTGCAAGTCATGCCCAGGTGAAGCTGCAAGGTCTGGGATAGCACATCAAAAGAACCATTGCCTGTGTTTGCATGTATCAGTAAGCCAGGGTTTCTGACTTATGGCTTAACATGAATGGTCGCGCTGGTGCATGGTGCCCATATGCTGCTTTTTCATTCTTACCCTGGCATGAGTGGGGTGAAAAAAACAGGAAGCCTTGACTTCCCGTCATGTCTGAACTAGAGAGCATAGTTTTTCGCTGCCTAACAAACCATGATCTATTAGCTATTGACAAACCATCGTTTAAGATTGGGTAGTGATTGTGGCTTATTAGGGAGTAACCAACCATGATATCTGGTTCAGACATAATGGGAAAGCAGGTTCATTTGCATATGTTACTCACACACAAGAGAATAGCAAAGTGGGAGTGTTGCACCCATATGCTGCTTATCCATGTCAAACCACAATAAGCCAGAAATCCTGCCTTATCTTTACATGTGTTAGTTTTTGTAGTAGGTTTCACCCTTTATCTTTAGAATGAGTTTGCTGAATCACTCATGGGAAGTCTTGGGCAGGAGGAATTGCTCAGTCACCAATTGTAGTGAAGAAGTCTGGCAAATATAGTCTTTCATAAGCATTTAGCTTTAATATTTTAAAGATGACTGTAAAAAGTAGGGCCAACCAAGTGAGTGCTGGTTGTAAAGGTGGTTTTTCATCCCTTTTATAGCTGGAATGGTACCTTAAAAAATGTATTACATCTAAAGGCACCCAGAGTAGAAAAGGTAGTCCAAATCCTGACAACTTGATGAACTATTTCAGGATGCTGGAGGAATTCATTTCAAGCATGCCGGTTTGTGGCTAATAACTCCTAGAATCAGTCTTGAACAAGAGCAACATGCCTGCTACTTGAACTCTAGCTTCTGCGCCATTCCTGGTTTCAATCCCAAGATATGTTCAGAGAACCCAAAAAAGTTGTTCTAACAAATTAACTGCCTGTGTTTTCTTAAAAGCCTACGTATGTGTGTTTCCCTCCCCAGTGAATATAGTGGAGAGACTTCACAAGGGCCAGCCTATGGCCCCGCTAGCCATCCTTCCTCCTCATCGTCAACACCTTCTTCATCTTCTGCGTTTCGCCATGTAGTGCCATCCAGACAGATAGTGGAAAGACAACCACGAATGCTTGACTTCAGGGTTGAGTACAGAGACCGAAATGTGGATGTAGTACTTGAAGACAGTTCAACTGTTGGTAAGAAAGCTGTTGCAAGAAGGGACTGACAAAATTAAAATGGATGTGTGCCTAAACTACAGTGCAAGTTCATTTCTTTGAGAGGCTTGTGGGGAGAGAGGATGTTTGAAAGCACCACTTTTAAAGCCAGTGATGCTCTACCTGTTTGAGTAGGGGGAATGGGGGCCAGTTCTTTGAGTGAACAAATCAACATGACAAACAGGACATAAATTTTCTTGCTGCACAACAGTGATGGGGGCCCAGAAATGTGATAATCTCCAGGGAGAGTAGTGTCTAAGACTCGAAAGAAGTTTCTAAAACTCTTCCCTTGTTGGAGCAGCATCATTGGAGCCTTTCTTTTTTTGCAAAATAAGGGACTCTTTTCTTCCTTTCTTAAAATTTATCATTATCTCTTTGGTACTCCTACAAGACTCAAAGATAACTAAGCAGTACCAGTTTGACTCTCAGTGAATTTACTCTCTTCTTAAGTCACTTTATATAAACTGGAAACATATGGGATTTACTAAATAATATTTCTGTGACTTGAGAATATAACTAGAGACATCCATAGTCTGTATAACCCCTTTGGCCAAATAATTTTGGAGGAGAATACAATTGTTTTCGTGTTTTGCTTGTTAAGAACATCGTTCAATGACCTCTGATCACTGAGGTGGCATGCAAACATTTCCTTTCAAAAAATGTATTCAGATTATGATAACATATTTGGATTGTTATTATTCAATGCATAAATACACCTATAATTTTCTAATTTCTGTACATGTATTAAAAGACAAATTAGTCTCTGCCTACAGATGCAATACAATGGAAAAAGGAATGGGGTGGGAGAGGAAAGACAGCATTGGAGCAGCTTCTCCACTGGCCAAGGCCAGGTTTGTCTTCTTGACCTGCTCTTTCTGGGATGCAGGGGGTGGAGCCTACCAGTGGCCCTTGGTCCCCTGACCTGTAGCAGAGGCCAGAACATGATTTCCTTTTGGTGCTTAGTGTATTTCAAAACCATCTGTGTATTGCTTCTAGTATTTGCTCCACATCAGCTAAGGTGAAGCATCTTAAAACTTTAATTGTAATATATGATCGAAGAGTGACATCTAGTGGCATGTTCTAATTATTGGCTGAGCATGTACTTGTTTGGTCAGTCTCTATTTCCCCCTCCCAGTCCCCCCCCTTTATTATGCTCAATTCTCCACCTCATTTAGTTGTCTGAACTTTTTTTTGTGGGGGACATGATTTCATAATTTCTGCTGGCTCACTATCCTTCAACTTCTTTTTGTAGATGAGAGAACAATATTCAACATGCACAACTCTCATTAGGATGGTGCCTAGAGCAACAACATTTAGTCAGTCCTAACACTTTGATAAGGTTAAAAAGGTGCCCCTGATTAATGAGGCAGCAGGTTTTTGAATTTTTGTAAGGGTCTTCAATACAAGGCTTTAATCTGAAAAAGAGGGGAGGCGGCAAGATCTGCCTTAAGAGGCATTCATGCTTGTGTGTGAAAAGGGGAAGCCTCTTCACATAGGGTGGTTGCTGCAACACATCTTAAAACAAAGGGTTGGATCCAGAGAAACACTCACAGGAAGGGTGGGTGGAAGGTGACTTTACATCCCTCTTCTCTCCATTGAGCCCCCTGAAAAGGCTTTTCTAAAGGTTGGGGTTCCTACTCAGTGGGTTAGGGTGGTCTAGCCTAGCCTGTGATGGAGACAGAATGGGGAATCACTGAAAATCACATGAATTCACCTTCTGTACTTGGTTTTTGGGGATCCCTTGGGGATCTTTGGCCCCCATACCACAGTTCTCCCCCTGAGTGGAATCTTCTGATCTTCAGGAGAGGCTTTTTCAGGGCTGCTAAGCGACCCAAATCGTACATTACATCCCTAGATTGATTTGGTGGGGAGGATGACTTGGTGATTTCAGCCTGTGTGTGCTGGCTTTTATTCATGTGCATCTTATTTTAAACATTACAGTTATTGTGGGGGTTGCCGAGGAGTGCCATAAGTGGAGGAGGTATGCTCAGTGGGCAGATCAGACAAGGCATAATCTTGCCTCCCTCCCTCCCTCCCTCCACCGGTTGTAGATAGGGAGAAAGTAAAGATGGATACTATCCAAACCAGGCCACTGCTTTGTTTTGGTATATTGCCCAACTAGTAATTAAGATAGTATATTAATCCAGTGTATCATTAGAATATTATTCCAGATGGTGATATTTGGTTCAGTAGCTGAACTTCACAGGAGGATGTGGGTAGTGTTACTGAATCACAAACACACAAATTTACCTTTTACTTTATCTGGATAATTTATTTCCCTTCCTCCCGCAGTGTAAAGTCACCATAGTTACATTCTCCTTTCTTTTTAAAAAAATGCAAAATAACAATACCTGTAACCTGGAGGGGGGGGGGGGGAGAACCTTGAAGGTGCTTCCGATATGGAGAACACATTGAATAGACAATAGGAAACCTTTCCTTTGGCTTTTGGATTAAAGAACGACCAGTCTTCCTCTTGCTTCATTGCAATATTACATGAACATACTTATGAGATATGTAAAAAAATCAGACACTTCATTTGCACCTCTTAAATGCCACTGTAGAATCCCATTTTTAGCTAATCTTTAGCTAAACAGTGTTCTGGAGCCCTCCATCTGCGTTGTGCTCAAGGCCCATTTTCCCATTACGTGTACTCAAACCTAGATTTGCCATCAAGTGCACCCTCCAGCAGGCCACTCAGGTCCCCAATGAGTGTGGCTTGATGATGCACATGTTTACAACTATGTACATGTCACAGTTGTAGTATTTTGAACTAGTATTTAAAATTGTTTGCCCATGTTTAGCAGCTGTTGCACAAAATGTCCGCTAGATGGAGTTATGCTACACCACCAATGAATAAAGATGTAATTTTCATTACAGTCTGACATCTACCTAATGCCACGAGACTAATAATTTTTCCACATATTATTGTGAAATGACCGCTCTTTTGGACAATGCTTAATGTAATTCTGTATGGTGAGGCAATTGCTTGCTTGTAGGACGTTTTCAAGGAGGGCATGGGGGAACCACAAATCGGAATTGGAAAAATAATACAAAGACTGTTAAGGAGATGGTTGTTTTTCTATCTTGGTATCTTACAAACATCTGTACATTTGAAATCCGCAGTGCTGTTCACAGAGATAGATAAGATTTCTCAATTGCGGAAAGATTTTGGCCCCACTGATGGCAATAATAGGCAATGGGAAACTGTTTCTGCAGTGACATTGGAGGGGGCCAACGGTTAGTGATGTAGAGAAAGACTTTTTCATAGCTGTAGAGTTCAGTCCTGGCACCTGAGTTGTAAAGGTTTGAAGCAGGTGACCTGGGGAAAGCCATTAACAGGCACCTTGTTGTTGCCTGTCTGTGTGGACAGAACTTGGCTAAATAGACCTTTAGTTCAGTCCCTTGTAAAACAGCCTATTATTTTCCCTATAATAGGGATGGGGAACCTTTTCTTCACGAGAACCACATTTCCTCCTGGGGACCACTTGCCAGTGGTGGGAGGAGCTGTGTTGCTATGTTCCAACCTTGCAAAAACCAAAGGTTTCTCTACACTTATACATACATCTCTCCAGCTCCTCACTCTCCTATCCAGACCAGCAAGGGGCATTTTTCACAGTTGCAAGTGCAGATTCCAGCCAGGCAAAAGATCTTGAGGATGGCATGGAGAGCGGCCAGTGTCTGGTATGGTGTCAGGAAGAGGTGTTTGGCCCAGGAAGGCGGTGCATGGTCTAGGGAGAGGTCTGAGGGCCAGATAGAAGGGTTGTATTTGGCCCCTGAACCTCAGGTTCCTCACGTCTGCTTTGTAAGATGGTAAATGAGTGATAGTATTTTGATCTTAATCTTTGTGAACTTTAAACATATACTTAAGCAGTACTTACAAGCAAAAGTACTGACTGACATATTAAAAATCAATAGGAGTTGAAGGGTTGCATGTGAACTATATATCCTGTACAACAAAAATTATGCACTTTGTTGTCGTTCATTGTATACCATTTGGGGTCACTGTATCTATCTTTTCTGACATTGGAAAAACAAATAATTTTAAAGCCAATAAATATTTGTGACATAAAATGATAGCATTTGTTTTTGGCATATTTTAATGTTTTGATAGTTATTATTGCTTTGATGATTTAGAATTTATCCTAAATAGTATTTTAACATCCTGTTGTTTGTTTTATGCTATTATATATGCTGAGAGAAAGAGAGAGAATGTTATCTCTAGATTTGTGTCTTATTAAATTCTTTGGTAATGTTGAAACTACAGTAACAGTATGGAATGTTTGGGCTTCTCAGGCCGAGTAACTTTTCTTTTTGCCAATGTTTACTAAAGATGAATGCCGAAAAAACATAAATATGGACAATACTTTTGTTTTGCAGGAGAGATCAAACACATTTTAGAAAATGAGCTTCAGATTCCTTCATCAAAAATGTTGCTAAAAGGCTGGAAAACTGGAGACGTAGATGACAGTGTAAGTTCCTATATTTGTCCCAGAATCAAATGCTGGGCTTTCTGCTACTCTCAGGTTAACCTACTTCATATAGTTGCTGTGAAGAAAAAATAAGAATTGGGAGAATCGTGTACACCGCCTTGAGCTCCTGGGGGTACACTTGTTATTTTTTTAGAAAAACACAGACATGAACGCTAATGATTCATTTATAGATAAACCAAAATGGCCCTTGCTTTGAGGTGAATGTACCTGATGCAAAATGTTTCTAATTTCCAACATTTTTTCCCTATAGACTGTTCTAAAAACTCTACACTTGCCAAAAAACAACAGCCTCTATGTCCTAACGCCTGATTTGCCACCACCTTCCTCATCAAGTATGCCTGGGTAAGAAACAATTTTTTAAAATACGTTTGAGCATAGTAAAATAGCACAGCATGTGAGGGGTTTGCATTAACAATGTTGCCAAATCAGAATTAGACTTCCGTTGCCTTTTATTTTAAAATAATATTAACACTGGACTTTGTGCTCACTTCTCCCCATAGTAAACATTTATGTAAAGGTAAGGTAATAAATGAATGGGACGCAGGTGGCGCTGTGGTCTAAACCACAGAGCCTAGGGCTTGCCAACCAGAAGGTCGGCAGTTCGAATCCCTGCGATGGGGTGAGCTCCCTTTGCTCGGTCCCTGCTCCTGCCAACCTAGCAGTTCGGAAGCACGTCAAAGCGCAAATAGATAAATAGGTACCGCTCTGGTGGGAAGGTAAACGGCATTTCCGTGTGCTGCTCTGGTTCGCCAGAAGCAGCTTAGCCATGCTGGCCACATCACCTGGAAGTTGTACGCTGGCTCCCACAGCCAATAAAGTGAGATGAGCGCCGCAACCCCAGAGTCGTCTGTGACTGGACCTAATGGTCAGGGGTCCCTTTACCTTTACCTTTAAGGTAATAAATACTAGAAGGGAGATACTTTTTTTGTCCAATTTCTTCAAAGATAATTGTTAATAGATTTTTTAATTCTTGTTCTTGACACACTCTAATCCGGGTAATTAAAATTGGTGGGTGGGTGTTCTTGATGTGTAAAATGGATATAATATGAACAGGAATCATCCTGTAGAGTGGGAGATCAGCCAAGATTATTTTATGGTTCCTTCAAGCCATATCTATCATTTTCCCAAGGTAGATAACTTATGGGCAAGGGTGCAAAGTTGAATGAACTATTGGGGGGGGGCAGATAAGCCCCACCCTGCAAAACTGAACCCAAGACATGGCACACATACACCATTTGAATTGCAATGCCCTAAACTTGGGAGGGGGCAGCCCCCTTAAATATTTTATGGGGGGAGGCGGAGGGACCTCATCCCCTAGAAGTTGGCTCCTGTGCTTATGGGTGTGAATAACTTGAACAGCATGTAGATTACAAGCCAGTTGTATTTTCAATTGAACATTTCAGTTATTAGCAATTGAAACCACAAAATAAAATGTGAGGGCTGATCACAACGTATGAGAATTTATTTTTAAGTACTGACCTGTAACACAGCTACTAATGTGCAAGTGTCTGCACACACAAGAGTGCAGTTAAATAGAAACAGACCACCATCTTAGGAATGGTGTCAGTCCTTTCCCTTCTATATACAGGTGAAAGATCTTTGCATACAATGGATAGCTGAAGAAGACAGAATTAGGATTCAATCGGGATTGGAGAACAGCATGGTGTCCTCCATATGTTGTTGGGGTCCAACTCCCCTTGGCCCCAGACAGCATGTTCAGTGGACAGGGCTGATGAGTATTGTAGTCTAACAACATTGGCTATCCATGAACTACTTCAAGGTGTTGTATGTGGAGCTGTCTTTGAAGCCTCTTTGGAAATTCCAGTTACTTCAAAAGAGAGCTGCTAGACTGTTAAGTGGGATCGCTGGAAGGGAATACAATCCTGTCATTCGTTAGCTGCTATGCTGGCTACTGATCTGTTTTCAGGCACTGTTCACAGTGTTTGTGCTTACCTTTTTTAAAAGCCTTAAGTGCCTTGGAAGTTGGGTAGATAAGGACCACCTTCATCCTCATGAGCTTGGCTGAATGCTGTGAACCTCTTCAGAGGTCCTCCTTTGAGCCCTCAATCCCTGTTTATAGAGTTAGATAGGTGGTCACTGGAGAGGGGACTTCACAGTTGTGCAGGACTGTCTGGTGCTAAATTTTATGTCTTTTGCTGGGCACTGAACAACCTTTCCATTTGCTCAAACCTTCCAACATTTCCCCCCAAGCTGATATCCCCCCTTAGCTGGGGATATGAATTGCCACCTTAAATTTTGAGGAGGATGGTCAGTACCTACTACTAGAGTTGCCATATTTCAAAAAGTGAAAATCCGGACACAAAATTATTGAGCTATTTTTGGCAAAGTTGTCGAGCTTTCTTTTTTTTGCAAAACCTCCCCAAAATGAAGTTTTTGAGCTATTTTTAAGGAAATTCACCCAAAAAAATCAACACTTCTGACATAGGTTGCCATACACCTGACATTTTAACCGATTTTTGGAAATTCCACCCAGACACTATTTCCGATGGACGAATCCTGGATATATCTGGGAAATCCTGGATGTATGGCAGCCCTAAGCTACATAATCTTGGGGAAAGTTATTCTGAGAAAGTCATCATGGCAATTGGACATTGAAATCAGTGGTACTTACTTTGGAGTAGATATGTATAAGCTTGAGCTGCACACGTTTTAGTGACTGTACACTTTAAAGTTTTTTTATTTCAGGCTTTTTATGAGACAGTTTAGAAAATCTCAAAGTTTAAAAATGTAAACAAGCAGAAACCCTTCTCATTTATCATACTAGCCAGATTTTCTGACTGATTGATGTTTGAGACTAATCTGCCATCTCCTGCTGCATTAGCTACAACAAACATTACATTTACATACCAAGCTCATATTTTGTTTTAGTGTAAATAAACTGTAATTATAGTAAATTTGGATGTCTGTTGACACGAGCTTGTATAAATCGGTATGTTTGCAATAGAAATGTTGATCATTATGTGTCATGATATTTTGTTAAAATTTAGATGTTTGAAGGGAAAAACGAATCAATATGAATAATGAATATTTTTTGTTCTGAAATTCATGAAGAGCCTTTGTGGAGCAGAACCTTGAATAATGGAGGTGGCAAGCCATTGCCCCAATCATGCTGATTCTGAAAACATTGTTTTATTTTCAGAGACAGATTTATCAACTAAATAGCCAAAATAATTGAGATTAGATGCTATTCCCAAGCACTGAAATAGGTGAGAATTTTCCAAAGTATATTAGGAACATCTGGAACTATAACATCAATATCTAAATATGCAACCCTTGAAAATAATAATGCTAATAAAAAGCCAACTTAGATTTTCTGTATGTATTCCAGTTTCCTCATAATCATGATCATGCAGAAAAATTCCCTTTTGTACAGTGAAAACCATGAAAGAACACACCTGAATCAAAAGATAGTTAGAATGTTGGCTTACCTGCTGCGCTCCCATTTATTGTTGAACTCCAACTCACATTAGCCTTAACCTGCATAGTCAGGGATGATGGGTGTTTTATTACATCTAAAGGTAAGCTGCTTTAGTTGTAGGATAACCATGGAAAAATTAGACTGACTTACTGCTTTTTTCCTTATTTTTATCAGCAGCTGAAGTGAAATACTCTTGCTTTTTTGGGCTGCAAACCTACACCCACTTACTGTATACCATAAGCTCCATTGAATTTGATGAGATTTACAGCACAATTTGAATTACATAGTAATGTATGTAGTGACTGGTGTGTCAGGGAATGTGTGAGGCATTATGGAGACAGAGATGGAGTGAGCTGCTCTGGGCTTGAGGTGTAAAGAAAAACAGATATAAAGTGGTACCTCGGGTTATATACGCTTCAGGTTATATGCGCTTCAGGTTATATACGCTTCAGGTTACAGACTCTGCTAACCCAGAAATAGTGCTTCAGGTTAAGAACTTTGCTTCAGGATGAGAACATAAATCGTGCTCCGGCGGTGTGGCAGCAGCAGAAGCCCCCATTAGCTAAAGTGGTGCTTCAGGTTAAGAACAGTTTCAGGTTAAGTACGGACCTCCGGAATGAATTAAGTACTTAACCCGAGGTACCACTGTATCTGTAATACTGTTACAGAATCAACAACAGACAGCCACTCTGTCCACAGAGATACCATAAATCTTTGGGGGAAATGAGGCTTTATGCCCTCTCTGAAAAGTTAAAAGACCAGAGCAGCTCAGAACCCCCATGGGGAGATAATTCTGGAGCCTCAGATGAGTTGCAGTAAAGGTCGCATTCTGAGCTGCAATGATACATGTACTTTGCATGTACAGACATATGATACAGGAAGTGTGCGCGATAAGATAGGCAACAGTTAGGCTGCATCTCCTTATACCAGTCTATTAGATACGTGGGAGTCCCAAGCTCTGAAGGGCTTTAAAGATAAAAATCACACTTTGAATTGGCTCTGGAAGATAATTGGTAGCCAGTGCATTTGTTGGCCACATTGTATCCCAGCCTTTCTCACTTTGCTAAAAAGAGTACCTGTCTGGTACCAACAAAAATTTCCTTTCTGAAGCTTCAAATAATTAATAATAATAATAACAACAACAATAACAATAATAATAAATAATAATAAAATTTATTTATATCCTGCCCTCCCCAGCCGAAGCCGGGCTCAGGGCGGCTAACAACAATAAAATAGTACAACATTCTAAAATCATTCCATTATAAAATTAATTCAACTCAAAATGATGGCAACCATTAGGTTAAAGTTCTGTGAAGATTGCCAAAGGAGGGAGTCAGGCTGTGCCCTGACCAAAGGCCCTGACCAAATGAAGTATTCCATTGGTTTTAGCCTTTTGTTAGGATTGTGGCAGAGGGACAGTCTCTCTGTGTCTGTGTCTGTGTCTGTGTCTGTCTCTCTCTCCTCTCCTCCATTGTCCAGGTTTCCAAGACTGTTTCTCATATCTGCCATTTTACATTAATTGCATTGGTACAAATACTGCCATGTCTAGTTGGGCCTTAAGTGCCTGGCTTTTCCAGTGTCCATTGGGTCATACCTTGTTGTCTGAGAAGCTGAACACTTGAGTACTTCTCAAAATGTGGTTGCATGTGAATGAAGGGATGTTTACAGCTGTATCCTGCATTTCCGAAATCTTGTAGAATTCTTACTTTTAAAAATGTAATCTTGAGTCCTTCGGGCGGCAGCAGGTTTGGGCTAAGGCAACAAATGTTTATACCATATGTATCAAACTTTGGATATGTAACAGAGCCATGCAGATACATGTGTAGCTATCAGTGTCTTAGAGCAATGTCTAGATATCAAAATGATGCTTGACAGCATTGGAATGAAAGAGAAGTAGGGGAAAGAAAAGGGATCTGGATTCCTGAAATGGAATAATCTAAGTAGAGAAACTGGCTCTCTGCTTTCCTAACAGGTGATCATATAAGCAGCAATGTATCTTTCCAGTATATGTGGAACCAAGATGTAAAGATTTAGTGCTGAGAACTGTTCATGTAATTTATCCCTTTGCCATGTATAGCTTATTATTCAAAAAGGAGATCCTTATGGAAACCTGCTTTTACATGTGCATCATTTGTGTTGGATATGATCAAATTAAGTGTCAAAATAACAGATAAGAAATGAGTGGAATTTCCCAGAAAGTACTTCTCAATTTAAAATTGTGTACAATAAACCCATTCTACTAAGATGTACATTTTTGCTTCTTCCTTGCTATAATCATGCAGAATAATATTAATTCTTAATATTGTTCTAAATACTTATAACAAATATATAGTACAAGCTGGTCAAGAAGTGGTTGCTGCTTTTTTTTTTTTTTGCCACTCTGAAAGTATTTTAATGGGTAGTTTTATTAGAGTTAAATCAGTGATGCTCACTATGCATTCATTAGGCAAGGCACTTCCTCTAATGCTGAGTTCTCACTTGGACAAATTACAGTATAATCTAATTTGTCCTCTAACCAGCATAATACATGTTGATTTAATTAATTAAAGAAAGACCAATTATTGTCTTGCTTTACACCAGCAGAGAATCCTGGTGAAGTTGGAGGATTTATTATGGTGAACTTCAAATACATTTTGCTGGTGGAACCACTGTATACCACACTTTTCTATCCTATGCTTTAGTGTTAGAGAATGAGCCAGTTTCCCTTCAGGCTCTTGCAGTTGTCTCCTCCACCTCCAGACCTGCCACAAGGAGGTGGTCAGAAGCTTTTATTTTTTATTTTTTGGAGTAACTGCGGTTTAGTGTGTTGTCCAAAACCCCAAACAGTGATTAATTGTAACTATGGTTAGTGGAAACAAGTCAGCTTCATAAACTGGGGCCTGAATCTGGTTTGAATCTGTGCAAGGTGGTTCAAGACAATATGATGCACTCACCAGCATGTGTGGCCCGATCCTGAATGCTGCAGTCTTGCAGTCCATTGATGAATAATCACTTTTTGTCATTCTCATGTGCTTTATACCTGCCAAAAGGGGACATGCTGTCTAGCTCTGTAAGGAAAGAAAATGAGCCAAAGCAAGCATTAGACCAGGCACCCCCAAACTCGGCCCTCCAGATGTTTTGGGACTACAATTTCCATCATCTCTGACCACTGGTCCTGTTAGCTAGGGATGATGGGGGTTGTAGTCCCCAAACATCTGGAGGGCCGAGTTTGGGGATGCCTGCATTAGACATCTGCTGAAAATTTTTCTGTTTTGGCAAGCCTATCCAGACACATGATTTACTTACCTATATGTGTTTTTAAAGTTTTATTGATTTTATCTTTGCTTTTAATGGTGGTGGTCATATATGGATCTTAGTTGTTTTATCTATAATTTTATTTTCTACACCATGTGGAGAGGTAGTTGTTTGTCTTTTGGATGAAGCAGTTTATAAATGTTCTAAATATATAAATTAAGCACTGATAGTCCATACTCTGCCTTGGGGTCTAGCTTCTGGTACAGATTAACCATGTAAATGGAAATGGACCATGTACATTTGAAACCATGTACATTTGGAAATGGATAATGAAGATGCAGTAGCTGAGATAAAATTATAAGCCTGAAAAGAATTCATTTCGCCAATTAGCCTGCCTTGGTAAACATCTGCAGTAACTAGTAATCTATGAAAATGGGAATGGGATTTGGTCATTTGACAGTGTTTCTTGAGATTTACTAGTAAAAGTATTTGTAACATTTCCTACTGGTAGTGTTAGAAACTGAGATATGAAAGCTAGGAGCTAAATGGCACCTTAAAAACATACACAACAACTGAATGTCTAGGCGTGCTTTTTTATAGCAAAGCTGAAAATGAATGATCTGCAGTTCATTTTTCACATGGTCTAACCCTTCCCCTGCCCACCCCCCAGTCTTCTTAAGAGGGTCTCTTCTCCAGTCTTCAGAGAGTAGATGGAAGTGGAGACGCAGAAAAAGATCCTCTTTTCCTTCCACTCTGCAGTTTTAATCTGAAATCTTAAGTGCAGTACTGTGCCCAGAGCTCAGAAACTGCTCACGCTAATGAAATTCTCTGTCGCAAAATGCTCCTAGAACAATGGGAGTTTCGAACACTGCCCACTGGTGTCATGAAAAGTCTACTTTAGCAGTGATTGTTAACATCTGCCAAGTCTGCTGAAAAATATGGTCATGCATGCCCCCCATGTGTGTGTTTGCACACCCACAGCCATCGGCTACAACTTGCTGTAAGGTAACATCAGAACACATTAAGATGGTACATCATCTAGGCAAAACTGCCAAAAGGGCAGTGTGCCATAATTAGAAATAAAATAAAGTGTTTATATATGCATATATTTATTTTCTTTAATAAAAATTATGTGTATACGTGTTTGTAATCGGTTTATTTAGGCATCGTTTTGGAGGATATAGTTTTAACATATCAGTTTCAATAAATATATATGGTTAAATATAGCTGAACACTGTGGCAATAGCAGTTGAGTTGTGAAAATTGTAAGGAGTTAAAATGTAGCCTTAGGCGCTTCAGCCACCTTAGGAGAGAAGGAGTTAACAGGTTAGCCCCCTTAGTTATTTGCTGCATGCTTCCTTGCCTTTAGGAGTAAAAAAGAAAGCGATGATAACATTGTGCCTGGGCTTGTCTCTGCTGAGTTTAGGGTACTCCTGGGGTTTTCGCAGCTAAATGTAAAGCAAGCTAGAACATGCTCACTCCTGATTTTCTTGTTTTTCTTTCAACCCTTTCAGTGCCCTGCAGGAATCATTAAATCAAAACTTCATGCTGATCGTCACCCATCGAGAAGTCCAGCGGGAGTACAACCTCAACTTCTCAGGAAGCAGTACCATTCAGGAGGTGAGTTCTGTCTCACAGCTGAAGAATAAATGTAGCTCATTATAACTAATGTCAGCTTTGTTAAAGAGGGCTTATGTATTCAGGCTGCAGACTTCCTTTTGTGTTTCGTTATTAAGTTTTTAGCTTTTAATTAACTGGATGATGAAAGATTACTGTAGGTACATCAGATGGTGTGACCTACATATAAAATTTGCATTAATTTTAGCCCAAAGCAGTAGTGTATTTGTTCCATGTTGCATTTTAGTAGCAAAATGCATTGCCAGAGATGAACTAGTGTTGTCTGGTTAGGCTCCCCCTGCTTTCTTTCTTGATTATATACTACTGTGTTTTCCTGTATATTCCTTGTGTCAAACACACTGCCATTGTGTTGTGTCATCTCGGCTGTGAGTGGAATGGCAGAGAAGTGGTGTCTTTTTAAAAATGATATCACTGTTATTCTGTAAAGCAGCCAGCAAGGGGTGATGTTGCAAAGAACAGTCCCTTGCTGATTGATCCTTGAAAGGCAGATATACTTCCGAAAATAGACATTGCCCTCTATTTTAAAAGTTGAAATCCCTGTCTGTTCCATAACATTGTATATTAAAATCAAATAACTTGCTTCACTGTTTTTTGTGCTTATCACAACCCATTTGCAATGCATTATTCTATCCAGTTCAAAATCAAGTGTTTCTCTTGAATATTTTCTTGTGATATTAAGCCAAACACCTTTAAACACAGATCACTTTGTATACATCAATGCCTTTCTGAAGGCATTAATGGGACAACTCTAAAGACTCTTCTATGTATGCACAGACCTCCATGCATGATGCTTGGATGTTAGCAGTTTTTCCACGGTTTCTTATTTTGAGTTGATTTTAGCACTAGTGCTGGTAATACTAAAAGCAAATCTCTGCTGTTTTAACATCAACTTTTTGACTCTCAGCAACTTTAAGAGTGTAGGCAATCAAACCTTGTATGTGGAACTGTGTTTGTCAGTGCAGAATGCATTAATTAATATTGTTTTTTAGCTTCAGTGAGAAGCAAGCAAGTTACAAATGAATAATTGAATTGGTTTTTATTGGCCTTGAAAGACCCTACGATATCATGTAATAGGTCCGAATGTTTGCATCCTATCACATTGCATTGAGTACATTATAGCAACTGCTTGTGATGAACAGTGGCCTTACAAATAAACTAAATTTGGGATTCCAGTGAATTAACAAAACAATTAGAGTAGATCTGTTGTTGTCCTACTCTGACAATTGTAGCATTGTCTGACATTCCTACATGCCAAATGAAATTGTTCAGGCTAACAAGGATTAAAATGTGGGGTCTTCAAGATGAAATCCCCAAATCTACCGTCTGTTAAGATCACATTAATCTCAGCAGAATGTGTGATGGGTGCATGGATTTAAGAATCAGGTTCTCGATCTGACTTGATCACATTTTATTTAACCAATTGAGGATTTTCACATTAGTTGGGGAGTGCCTCATTGAATAAAACAGCATTCATACAGATAGAGGTTTTGCCCATAAGAAGCCAAGCAAAGGTTAGGAATTAATTGATGTACTGCAGAAAATAGCAGTATGATGCTCAGAGGCATTGGCCCCTTTTTGGAAAACACCCCCTCCCAGTGCTGCATGCCAAAAGAATCTCAAAAAGCAATTTGTGTTGTGGAATGAAGTGGGCTGTTTTTCTGTTTTTCTTTTCTTTTTAATGCACATCTTGGTTGTGTGTAAAAGAGATCTAAACTGTAGACTTCTAGTTTGCATTTCAGCTCAAAAATTTGAATTAACATTTTGCGCATTAGCAGTTAAACAGAATCAGTTGCCTTCTGTGAAAGGAAGTGTTAATTATTTAAAACATTATTATCTGAAGTTGTTACTGGTAAATTTGTCATTTCCTCTGTTTCCATTCAAATGTGGGTTTTTAAAAAATATCACAAGTTTACATATACTTTGTTATACGGCAGTAATTGAACATGTGCAAGTTGCAGTTGTTGGCCACCAGAGGGCAGGAAGGACTATTCAATTATTCTCTAAAAATGCTATCCCGTGTTTTCAAATTAGCTTCCCGTATATTAACAAAAAGGAGTATAATGGCTGAGTTATTGTTTGATTTTCAGATAATTGGCATATTGCGTGAAGGAGACTTAATTTCACCCTTTAAAATTAAACAGGGAGATTTAAAAAGACATAAAATATTCATTAATGTTCAGTGATTATAAAGCAGTGGCATATATTTATTTTACCTTTATTACTGTTTCGATGGGAAAATACTGCAAATATTTCAGAAATCGAGTTGGCCATACTGACAAGTTGAAATGTTTAAGCAGTGTTAATGCAATCTACTCACACCTGATATCCTATGCAGAAAGATTCAAAATGTCTACATCAATTATTAAAGGAAATACTTAACATTCTAGGAATGTTTCAGGCCTCAAGACAACTATTGGATGCAACTGTCTCTCCAGACTCAGTTACTTGGAATATTTAGGAGTATTTTAATGCCTGAATGACTGGCAAGCAATACTTTTTAAATTTATTTTTCCATACTAAGTAGGGTCATGAATATTTTTGTAGTGAGCTAATGATAAATCTGTTAGATTGGTAGACATGAATTTATATTCCTCCCCTAGTTTCAGGCACTTTGATTTCCTTTTGGAATGTACATTGAAGAGTGACAAAGAAACAAATGAATTGAAATTGAAATCCTGGTAAGAGAGTGGCTAAAAAAAATCAAGAAACATTTGCATGAGAGTTCCTTCTGCTCCCAGTTTGGCACTATGGTTCAAGAGAAAGAGTCTGTTTTTAAGAATGAGTGTGATGCAAGGTGACACTATGGTAACTTTATGCAGTGGTAGACTGCAGAGCCTATGCTGGTCCTGAATTTAGGTACGAGACCAGCCTAGCTGAAAATTAAAGTCTGGAGGTCTTTTAACTGCTGCATAGACACAGTCTTAGAATATAGATGGGGTTGACAAAAACACATGTTTTATTTGGGTAGTCTTCTCCCAGTAAATTTCAGAATGGCAAGATGTAGTGTGTGTTAAATTGTTTTATATCTCCCTCCTTTGATAAAAGATTTACCGTATTTTTTTCTCTATAAGACTCACTTTTTGCCTCCTAAAAAGTAAGGGGAAATGTATGTGCGTCTTATGGAGCAAATGCAGGCTGTGCAGCTATCCCAGAAGCCAGAACAGCAAGAGGGATTGCTGCTTTCACTGCGCAGCGATCCCTCTTGCTGTTCTGGCTTCTGAGATTCAGAATATTTGTTTTCCTCCTCCAAAAACTAGGTGCGTCTTGTGGTCTGGTGCGTTTTATAGAGCAAAAAATACGGTAATTAGCAGTTCATGGTGCTGAAATGAAATATCAGTTAATGCAGGATCTCTAAAACTGGGACCGTAGGGAACTGTCTTACATCGTGTCAGACCATTGGTCCATCTAAGTCAGTATTGTCTACACTAACTGGCAGCAGCTGTCCAGGGGTTCAGGTGGGGGCCTTTCCCAGCCCTTCTTGGAAATGTCAGGGATTGGACCTGGGATCTTCTGCACGCAGAGGAGATGCTCTGCCACAGAGCTGTGGAAAATGAAGTGGGCGAGAGAGTAGGAGTCAAAATTTGGAAACAATGTTTCCACGTTGGCCTATTTGGCAAAATAATCTTTGCCACAAGTTTCAGATTTATTTATTTATTTAGGGTGAAACTATGTGAGGATGATGAAACACATATCTATTTGTAATTTATGAGTTCTATGTTTCCATTTCATAAGTGTGTTTTTTTTAAATCCTTAACACTTGCAACAGGATAGATACATGATCTAAGTTTTGCCTTATAAACATGTTAGTGTTGCAGTAGTGCATAGACGGCTGCTCTCTCCATCCCTTGTAACAAAGCACAAGGTAACACTTGAATCACTGCTGTATGTCTGGCACCTGGTCCTATGCTTATCTCTTGCTATATGGCAGAAGATAGAATGGGGCACAGGAATTAGCACCATAGAATGATATATTGGTACAACTGTGTAGAGTAGAGGACTATTCGTTGAATCATTGCGATCTGAACACGTGGGAGTTATCAAAAATCACCATTTCCTATCAGAGTAAAATTTCATGAAACAAAGTTGTGATGTTCAGTGTATTTTGTCTTCAGAAGCTCCATACAGTGAACCTGCTTCCTTGGTGGTGGTGGTTTGTTTTTTAAATTACAAATATGCATACTGGGTATCATAATGGGATTTCTCTAAAACTAAATTATTTGTTTTATATGAATATATCACATTGACTTTCTGGAACAGGATTAAAACTCAAAGCAGCAATACTTAAAAACATGTCAAAACAGAAGTTCTGATTTATGTCAGACTTGAGCATCTTTTTCTTTTAAGTTATTTTAGCCTCTGAATATTAAGGGAAACAATAGTAAGGGAAACAAGCATATAGAAATCAGTTTAATTCATTTTAAAAGTGTTTCAGCTTGTGATTTTCAGCTACTTTAAAGAATTAATAATGTAAGCTGCAGTTTAGCTAGATAATCTGAAAGTCTGGTGTCCATGAAACATACACTAGGGCTTGAGAAAGAGATGTCATACCCTGTAGCAGCTGGTCCAAATCTAGGATGGAATATAGAAAAAGGAAAGTCTTAAGATGAACCATTCTAGGTCAGGTCATCAGGGGCAACTTCAAGTGTAAATATAAGAGAAAGGCCTATAGTATATAAGTTATCCAATCTACTACTTGTTCCTGACTTGTGGAGGGATTTGTCATTCTTGGAACTCTTTTCAGGCTGCTCAAAGAGGATTGATAGGATAAGAGAACAAAAAATGTGCAGGAGAGAGAATACTCACATCTCTGGATCATTACCTGTTACAAAAGGGGATTTGAGCAGAGTACACCCACTGAAATTAATGAGCAGGATTGTGTTAGTTCCATTAAGTTTAATGGGTCTACTGTGAGTAAAACTTAGCTGAATAATGCCCTGAAGTGAACAACATGGTTCTCTCCAGATGTTGGGTACAACTCCCAG